GGGAGCCGGGGTTTAGGCGTCCCGGCACACCCGAGCGTCGCCGGGCCGCCGCGGCCGGCCCCTCTCGAGAGCTTTCAAAACCCTCTGAGACCTTTAAAACCGAAACTCCGACCGAGCGAACAACTTCACCGAGCGGAGCCTGTGCTTACAAGCCTGTCGGCATGGGCCTGTGAGCGTCCACGCGCGATCCGGCAGCACCTGCCCCAGGTGTGTGCGCGTTTTTTTTCAGGGGAACTGCGCGCAGAGCCAGAATGGGAAATCGGGTCCTGCTGCCGGACCTGCAACGGCTTTTCTATTCCCTAGTTTGTTTAGTAGTTTAATTTCTGTTCTGCAGCTCCTCGGGTTGTAAGGGGGAAACACAACAATAAATAACTCAAAATGTTATGAGGTAAAAGCCATTCATAGTTGCGAGCTGTCTGGAATTACTGTGAAAAATGGAAGAAACTATTCAAAAGTGCTTAAAACATTCAAGGCTTTCTCTATATTACCTCTTATATCATAGAATTAATGTGTATTTTGAGGGAAACTGTGTTGACTTACAGCCCACAGGATATAGAAATGAGATGGTGAAGAAGATTTCCCTAGGAAAATATTTTACACAGCTGTTGCTCAAAGAGCTGTTTACTTTATTTCATTATATATATGTGTGTGTGTGAAAAACTATGAAGAGTTCACTTGAAGAATTCTTGGCAATAAAAAGCAAACTGTTCTTGCTCTTTCCAAAGCAAAATTAAACAAGCCCCCCAATCCTGCTGCAAAGAAATGAGCAATAATGTCTTGCCCGATTTTTTTGCTTCCCCTTAGTTCTCCAGGCGATAGTGTAAAACTCTGCCCTATGATGCAGCCAAAGCACATAACGCTGTGTCACCTACGTAAAATAGAGAGTGAGCTAATCATCATATAACCTAGGTTCGTCTGAGGATGCTTGGAGCCCTTTCCCCATTTTGTCTTGAAAAAAAAAGCCAAAATAAAGTAGATGGCAGAGAAAAAAAGTAGATCACAAACAAAGGCAGTAAGCAGGACAGAAGAGCCCGAAGAAGTTCGTGTTGCTGCTGTAAACCTGGGCGACCCAAGGAAAACAACACAAACAAACAACTTGCAACTGTCTGAAGCAAAATCTGAGGACTGAGTTCTGCTACTCTGATTTATGTCAGCTCGTAAGTTACGGCCCACGTAGTTTGACTGAAGGCAGTGTGATTGCTTGTGAAAACAAGTAGTAAATACAATCCAAATCTGGTCTGAAATTGTTTTTAAGGTAACTTTCAACTCTTGGTATTTTCAGAAGTGTCAGCTTACTTTGAAAGTGCAGATATGCTTCTTACCCAGACTAGAAGCAGATCTAGCTATAATTAAATATTCACCGGATTTTCTGTCAAAGTGTTGTCTTACCAGCATCTGTTCATGTTGACTTGTCTTATAATTCAAAAGAGAAAACACCTTCAAGAAGCTTTTTATTTTCTCCTGGTTTCAAGTTGCTTTACCTCTGTTTTTAGCACTGTCAACATCAGTCTCTCTGTATCGTGTGCTTTCCCTTCTTTTCCTTCTTTCTCCTTCTCTCTCTTTTTTTTTTTTTTTGAGAAATAGGGATGAACTAGGCCTAGTAAATAATCCAATAACTATTGGAAAGCAGTTCAAAAATACAAATGAGCAACTAATGAAACTTGGTCTAATTTACAGTCATTCTGAAACATTTTTAATTAGCAGTTCTTTAATTAATATTCTCTGCTATGATGACATCATTAATTCTCCTGTGTGACTGAGCTATATTTACAAAATAGGATCCTATAAATTGGTAACCCAACTCTTTTTTAAGCCAAAGAGGTCTGTCTTACTTTTTTTTGCCAATACTGTCATTCTTTTCCCCAATATGAAGCAATGATGCCACAGTCCTCGAACAGCTGCAACTCCTGTGCACAATTCACACCGATTCAAGTGTAATCTGGAACAAATTCATCTTTCATAGACACTTTGAATACCCCTGAACCAGGGAAAGCAGGGAAACTCCGTTAAAGTTTTGTGCTACTAGCTGGTAGCTTATAGAAACATCCTAAATCAGTACCAACTAAGAGCTACTGTTGGTTGGGGTTCAGCCACTGAATCAAGCCTTGATGCAACTGCTTTCTAGACATGAAGAGTCCAAAAGCATTTATTTTATCAGCAAAATCTCCAGATTTTATGCTTTCTCGATGAGCTGTCATAACAAACTTTCCTGCTGTACGTCTCTTTTTATAGGTGCTTGTGATTTGGGGGAAAAGCTCAGGAATGTTCAAAATGCTTATTTGACCTGTATTCTTCTCTCAAGCTAAGAGTGTTTCAATGAGTGAGATTTCAAAATCTGAATGAGATTTCAAATGACTCTTTGAATGCCCAAAGCAAAACCATCACCACAGGGAAAAGACTTGTTTGAAAATAAACGCCAAAGGAGAGAGAACTTTCTAAGTCTACCCTTAGTAGGTACAGGCCTGGGGGACACAGCATGTTTTAAGAATAGGCAAAGGTCATCTTCCGGATCTTTTTTGTCTCATTTAATTACCACATCTGTACTTATTCTTGCACCATCTTAGCCTTTCCTTCCTTCTTTGCTTGCGTGCTTCCTTCCAAACAGTATGTAACTCAGGATTTTTGCCTTGATTCATTTATCCCACATGATGCATGGCCACTAACTCCTTCTTTCATTTTGTTTATTGAACAGGTTGTAATGAGAATGAGGCAGATCACCTGGACAGAGACCAGCAGCCTTATCCCCCATCCCAGAAGACAAAGCGCATGCGCACCTCCTTCAAACACCACCAGCTTCGTACCATGAAGTCCTACTTTGCTATCAACCACAACCCAGATGCCAAGGACCTCAAGCAGCTTGCCCAGAAAACAGGCCTGACCAAGAGAGTTCTGCAGGTAAGAAGCCACATCACAGGCTTGACAGAATTTTCCCCTACCCCTGCCAGTCAGTAGCATTTCCCTTACGTGTAAAAATAGCTATCTATGTAGAAATACTTTTGCTAGATGTGTCCCTAGTGGGTGTGCAGAGGGGTATGGTATTACATGGCAGGAGTGCCCAATGTATGCCCTACCACCCCAAGGCAGCCAAATACTAAAATGGGATTTGTAATTAGTTGCGTCCTCAATATGAGGAAACTGTCTCCAGAGTCTACCAACCCAGTAGATATTCTGGGATCTGTAGTCTCTCTCTGGTGACCTTAGTAAGCGTAGAGGTAGCAAATCTACTCATTTTATACACACTGGGTGAAGCCTTTGGGTTCCCCTGAAGTAGTTAATATGGCCCCTCAGTGAGCAGATCCTCTATATGTAGGAAGGAAGCTTTGACCAGTATGAACCTCCAGGACCAGCTGGCTCCCTCTCCCAATGCCTGTTAGACAACTGTTATCATTAAGGGCCTACATGGTAAAAAGTCACTTCCCTGTGAAGGACAGCCTAGCAAATTATATTTTAAAAAGTCCCTATATGGTACGTGCTAGCTCAGTGAAGTGAGAGAGGTGTGTATTATATGCAGAGTGACAAAGAAGGGCAGCGATCAATATAGAAGGAGAATCTATTAGTGGCAATTCCTTGTTTGTGTTACACCACCTAAAATATTCTTGGTGAGTCTTACAGAACAGAAAGACTAGGTGACCCATATCAACAATCTGTATGATAGGGATGGTGTAACTACCCCTCCTTCCTCTTCAGTCTTTTAAAATGATCAAGACAAACTTTCAGTCTTGGCAAAAATCTGCTCATTCACCCTTTGCCTCAATCTTTATCATGTGTCTTGACCCGAAACCTACCCAACGTGAGAATACACTGTATGGCCATCAAGAAAGTTGCTTTCCTTGTGTGAGTGAGTGAGCAGATTTTTCTCAAGACTGCTCTATGAGGTCTGCACACTGGGCTGCAACATTCCAGTGAGTGCCCATAGCGCTGGGCCTTGTATGCAGGGTCCCACCTGTGACAGAGTCAGTACCACCAGTAGCAAGTGAAGCTGTAGAGTGACTTAGTTGATTTGCCACACAAAAACAAACATCAAAAAATGAATTAAAAGCAAGAACAAAGACAAAAACAAGCAAAACAAAACAAGCATCGGTAAAGAAATCAATTGGGATTGGTTTGCAGGTTTGGTTTCAAAACGCAAGAGCCAAATTCAGAAGGAACCTTTTGCGGCAGGAGAATGGGGGTGTCGATAAAGCTGATGGCACCTCACTTCCGGCACCGCCCTCAGCAGACAGCGGCGCACTCACTCCACCCGGCACTGCGACCACTTTAACAGACCTGACCAATCCCACTATCACTGTAGTGACATCAGTGACCTCTAACTTGGACAGCCACGAATCCGGGAGCCCCTCACAAACTACCTTAACGAACCTTTTCTAACATTTCATTTTTTTTTTTTAATTCTTACTCTTCTTCTTTATTATTATTATAATTATTATTTTTATTATTTTCAAGCCTTTTTTTTAAAAAAAGATAACAAACCCACAAAATATTTGGGAAAATAAACAGCTTGATGTGTAGCATCTGCAGCCACTTGGCAAATGAGTTTGAAGTAATATGTTGCTATAATAAATGAACATTTATTGTTGTTAAATTGTACTCAAATTTTTTAAATTCATCAAATAACTGAAAAGGTTATGACTCATTCTAATAAGTGCCTCTTAAAATTGTATGTTACTTATTTCCAGAACCTTGAAAAAAATGATTACTACACACACAAAAAAATTCTTTTCCCTCCTTGATAACCAGATAAAAATCAATTTAATTATAGCCAAAAGAGTGCTGCTTCAGGATTGTATGTTCACTTACAGCATTTAAGAACCCCAAATTTCACCTTATTTTTATAATGCATCTAAAAGTTTTGTATGATTTATTTTTGAAATGTTGAAAAATAAATACAAAATGAATTAAACTAGTAATTGAAACAGTCAGACTGCAAGTGCCAGTGCTTTTTTCTAATGCTTTAGACACAAGCCTGACCCTCCTCAAGCACTGGAGAGTCTCATGGGGATAGCTAAATGCTCCTCTGCCAGTTCCTCACCCAGCTGGGACGCCTTTGGCCACCACTGAAAGCTGTGCCTGGATGGAGGGCTTGGAGAGAGAGACCCAGTGATGAGAGTGCATGTGGATGAGGGTGGTAGGATCAGGTTGTTGGTCTCCAAATTTGTGTCCTGTACGTTAAGGAGGCAAGATCCGGAAAACACCCTCCAGAATGAGCTCACTCCTATAAGGATATTACTAAAGTAATAACAGCAGAATAACAACTCAAGTGAGAAGTCCTACTGATCTGAAATACTGCATAGGGAGGGTTTTTCATTTTTGTCTGTCAAGCAGCTCTGATTTGGAGTTAAAAAAAAAAAGTGTGGTTCGCTCCACAGCCTTGATGCCATGCTGTTAAAGCAAGCAGGAGGTTGCCCAGCTACTTTAGTGAGCACAAAAATAATTTCCAAGAATACGTATACAAGTGTACTGTTAAAATGAGTTTTTGATAAATCATACTTTTTTCAGGGAAAATGGAAATAAGCAAAATATAATTTATTAAGATGTTTGAGGAAAATATTTCAGTACAATTTATCCGTTACTATTTTGAATTTACTTTAGATGTTTCTTGAGATTGTATCAGACGCTTTGTTTAACGCATGAACTTAAAATCTGTAGTTCATTAATATCTCTAGCATATACTCTAACTTTTTAAACTTTGTATAAAAGAAAAAAATTTAGCAAAAATTCTTACAAAAATGGGAATTGGCAGTGAATAATTTTAAAGCAGATAAACTCAGAAGCCTTGTGGATGCTGATCTGAATACATTTCTTAGTTTACAATAGTGATCTTTCTTTTTTTATTTTTATTTAAGCTAAAAGTCTGAATGGTCTGGGCAGTGGTGAATGTTCATTTGTATCCTTTTATTGTAGTTGAACACCAATTAGATCGTGGACAGTCTCAGAAACAAAAACAAACAAAAACCAGTCAAGATCTATGTCTTGCTTTTAGTGGATTGTTAAGAATAACTTTGCACATATACCCCACTTTTTAGACACCATCAAATCTCTTTTTTGGTGGTCAAAGTGGCTATTTAATATATTTTAAAGGTGTCCTTTTTGGCTGTATAAATGTGTGGTTACATATTGACAGTTCACTGCCCACATTAAAGTGCATTATTGTAATTTTTGCTCAGGGTTTTTAGAAAATTAGCACAGAAAAGTAGCTTATTTTTAAAAAAAAAAGATGATGGAAGAGATGTTAACACTGTAATAGAAGAAAGGTGTGTTTGCCATTATATATTTAGCAAGTATGGTTATCATCTTCTACGGATATTAAATCTTGACTTTTCCTATTTCTATTACCTTATGGGCATTTACCACTAACCAGACCAAACGACCTTGGTAAGGCTGAGATCTTTATTAATACACTTTTACAGGTAAAAATATTGATACTTATAAATTTTGTTCTTTGACAGAACAATATATGGTACTAGAGATCTACTTTATTAAGTAGACTAATTAAAACTCAGTTCTACTATGTGCCTTATGATATACCTTGGGAGTAAGTTTGTGAAAAATCAGGATATATGTGTTGTTTGTTAAATTAACTGTTTTAAGCCCTTTTGACACCTCACTAGTTTTGTACTGTTTTACCTCTTATTTCTGAAACTCTTTTTATGGTGTATCCTGTTAGAGGGGACAAACATGTCATAGAAAGCAGTTGTGCACTCTTTCAGATATAGTTGATAAATCCAATAATCTTATATATTGAGCTTCGTGTTTATAGTACAGTAAGTGGTCTAGCAAAATTGTCCATGTTTCTTTGTTTATTGATAAATGCATTGTATAGAAACTATTTCCCCTAAATATTTATGGACCAAACAATTGTGATATATCCTATTAAATTTGTGTGAATAAACCATTTTGAATCTAAGGAGTTTTATTTCCCATCAGTTTGTTTTTTTTTTTTAACTATTTTTTTAATTTAAAGTCTACATGTACCAGTGCGTCTCTTTGCTTTTACGGTACCTGTGAACAATTGGTATTAAACATGGAAACACAGCCTTTTAAATATTTTAAAATATGGTTTCTTCTTAGGTTTTCAATTTCTTCATATTCAATGTATATGCTACTGCTGGTGCAATTTAGATTTTAGCTTTTTAACCCCCTTTTTTGAACATGCAAAGTAATGCCCCATTGATTTGATATTGCAACCCTGTTTTAGACTTCTAAAAAAGCCAGAAAACTAGCAGCTAAAGTAATTGCATGACAAATATAACCTAAATAATATGATGAAATGAATCAAGATTTAATGCTAGGTATATTGAACACAAAATAGAATTGCAGACCCCGAAAAGCCAGGTTGCTCTGTAGTTTAATAAATTGTCACTATGATTTCTTTCAGGGAGAACAAATCATGGGGCATTACAGCCAAACATCCCGACGTTTGAAAATTCCCTAAAGTATTAAAAGAAGGGGAAAAGTTTGATCGGAAATCCACTGCAGTGAAGACAAAGACAATATTAGGTTATGATAATCATACATTTAAAAATCTATTGAGCCAAAAAATAAAAATAAAAGACTTGATGTCATTTCCTGAATGTTAACAAAACATGTTATTTTATGGTGTCTAATTAACAGGACTGAAGGCTTCAACAAATTGTGTGGTATTAAAAACAAATTTAGAGAAACTATGTATAAAACCAGAGCAACCTGGCAGCAATCTACCCAGCCCATATTTGAAGAAATCTTTTCTTTAAAAAAAATCACATTTGTCAAGCACAAGTACTTGTAGAATAAAATCTGAGTGCATTCATTCCACTTGCTTGCTAATGTGTACTAGTCATATCTGTTAAATGGATTTTTGTAAATTCAAAGAGGACTTTTCACTCATTCGAGGTCATAAGAATCAAAACCCAGTAACTTTAGTACTATTGTTTCTGAATTCTTTTTTTTTTTTCAAATGAGACAAATCTGCATGCAGTTTTCCATCTGTCACATATAGTGTACATTTCTGTATGATGAATTTCTCTTTGATGTTTCTTGTATAATAGCTTTCATTAATAAACATTTTATTTGATGCAAACATAGTTAACTTTATGTAAACACATAGCTAATTGTTCCAACTAATTTAAACTTTTCTTTTGAAAAGAAGAAGTACAGTGCAGTTCCAATATGTTTTATATATCTAAAATCACAAACAATGAGGTAGCAATACTGTTGCACAGTGTAAAACTATTTCCTTTGGTGTTAACTTTCTAATTTTTTAACTTCTTGTATAAAACTGACATGTTTTAAAGAAAATTCCCATCAGCATCAACAATAAAACAATCCCCAAATTCTTCATCAATATAAGAAAAACATAAGCAGTACATTATGTAAAATCCTCAATGACTTTTAGAGTAGAAGGATATCGTTTGTGGATCCCCGAGCTGTTTACATGGTCACTATGCAATGAGCAATTATGTTACAAAAAGTTGGTCCTAAGATTTCCGGTCCAAATCACAGATGATTTTTACAAGCCAACAAGCAAGTGTAACAACAACCAATTCTTAATAATGAGGTTTTGTAACTGTTAAGCAACTATTTGCAGAAAGATTTTTAAAAATATATTCCTACTTAGCTGTATAGCCAAAGCGTATGTTAAACAAATTAACATATAAAAGACTTGCCAGAAAATCTTTCATTAAGATGACATTTTTATTATATACTAATGAACCCTATGTAAACAATGTAACTTTTATGAATGATGGACATTAAATATTTCACTTACGTGTATCCTCAGCATTTTGCATGTTTTCTTAAGCTTTTACAGTTTCTGAATTCTAAAAAGAAAACCACACAATTCTTAACAACATAACAACAAAGTTACGCACAGATTACTGCAGTGATCTCTGGAAACCGGTAACCAAGAGTGTTCTAACGGCAATAAAAAGGTATCATTTATTGGTGGCAATTATGGGGAGCATTGTTTAAACAACAGTTTTATAGTATGTTGTAAAGTTCTATTGAAAAAGGTTAGCATGGTGGACTTAATTCAAATCAGCTTGATCAGAAATTTAAGTATATTGTGAAATTCTTAAACTGAGCCTTATGCGCATTTATTACTGCAGAAAGTAAGTAAATGTAGGAAAGCAATTATTCGTGTCACAGCCGTAATGTGGTTTCCCCCTGTTGTCCATAGGAAAATATTACAAACATTAATTATTCAGATCAGTAAAGAACTTGGTGGTGTTTAGGGCCAAGAAAAAAACTACGTACTATAATTTTTCTTTTGTAAATCACTGCATTCTTAAATAAGCTGAATTTCTTCTCCCCCAATTTAATACTTACAGACATATTTCTAGTCTAAATTATTGTCCGTGTGCTGCTTTTTTCACCTGATTTAAATTAGAAAAATAAATTAATTTAAAAGTCCTGGTGAAATACTAACTCCACTGAATTCAGTGGCAAAATCATCACCAATTAAAGTAAAACCAGGACAATTTTATTTCTCTTTGTCTGATTAGAAACATTAAGGTTTCATTTTTCTTAACAACACTATTCTTTGTTTGGAAATAGTCCTGCACATGGTGCTCTGGTTGACCGGGCTCGTTGCATTAGCCCATCCAAATTTTTTGAAAGATAAAGATCTGTCTCTTGCATTAAGAGAGTAAACATGTTGAAAGGCAGCATTGCGTGAGAAAGAAAAGAAAGGAATAATTTCAGACAAGATTTGAGAGAATGCAAGACAAATTTAGGTTTTCAGGATTGTCGCAAGTGAGAAATGCGTTTGGGGTCTTTCTAGTGGATACATATCCACATCTAGACACAGCATTTCTTTGCACTCTGTTCTTGAAAAAGAAGTCAAACCATGCAGTCCTCAAACATCTTACTCAGAATTACTCAGCAGAGAACTGGCTTGCAGGACCAGGTCAAATGACAGAAGGCTGACACTGCATACCACTGAAATTGGTGAATATTCTCTCTCCGGCTCCGTGGGCTTTGAGCCAGGAGCTGAATGAACATGGAGGTTAAATTACTCTCTTGTCTCTAAAGAAAGCATAACCTTCAGAATGAGACAGAATATATAGGACAGCCATGCTGCTCTGTGCTTTGGACTTCACTCTTTAGAGTTGCTAATCCAAGCACCTGGCACATGCATTAAATTGACTTCAAAATATTTCTTCCTCCCTCACCCAAATACAGGACACAAATTATACTACTGGAATTTCCAGAAGCTACTATAGTGTCAGAGACTTTATTCAGTTATTCTGCAATGTTGAACAATTCTTCTGTGCTTCTCGCTTGACACAGACTTATCTCGACACATACCTATACACATATCCTTGTCTTGCCTTCAGATAACCAGTACTTTCATGTTTGTTTAAGTCATTCAAACCTATAGGAAGCAATTCCCCATGCTTACATGTTCTAGCAAAGGTAGTTGTTGTAATTTTTGTTTCTATACTCCTCCACAATAAAATATTCTTCTAGAGTAGCTTTTATGTCATGAATTTGTACTTTTGTATGTTTTTTAATTTTCATAGCTTTGGAACAAAAAATGTAGTGCTTGAAACATCTAAATGTACAGATTATTTTGCCAGCTTTTCATGCAGTATCTAGCAAAACAAATCTACTGCAGTCATTGAATTCATAGCGTGCATGCTGCTGTAAGAGTATTCCTCTCTACAAATTGATTTTATCATTCAATTCTAATTTTAACTAATTGATTAATATTAGATATGACAGCTTTTTAGCTGTACTCTTTTCTCGCTCAAGTGTGCTTCTGTTTTTGGAAACAGAATTGAAAGCAAGCATCCTTTGAAATTTCTGCTGTAATTTTGTTACTGCTAGCAGCAAAGGGCTAGACTGAAGGTCTGATCTAGCTTGACAAAAATCAGTGTTATTTTCCAGTTTGTTCTCTTTTCAAATTGGACTTTAACAGAGGATAAAAATACTGTCAATAATTATTTTACTGCCAGAAAAAAAATGTTAGATATGCTTCCCTTTTGCATAACCTTTTGTAACTTCCCAGTTACACACCTCAATATAGATTTCTGAGTCTGAACAGACTGCACAGTGTTTGGAATAGGTGAGACTGCTGCATATAGCAAATAAATAATAAAGAAAAGAACAAGCTAAGAAATGGTTATCAAACTGCAAGTCTAAGCAGTCACTGGGAGACATGTGGTAGTTTTCTATTATCATCCTACAAATCCTTATTTCACCATTTTCCTTGAGAAATTTGGTCTTACCTGAGAGTAATCAAGTAGGTTGCTGTTGCAGAACAATCGTAACAAGAATTTTTCAGGAATAATTATCTAGCAAAATAACAAAATGTTGGCCAATATCCTAAAATCAGTAAACTAAAGTGCAACATCAGAAAAGCTGAGAGTACTGATTACTACTATATCTTAAGACATAAACATATATGCTCATGATTTCTGTTTAATTCATAGAGGATAATTAACTTTACCGAACAAATACATATCCCGTCACAAAAACAACGAGTCATGCACGTAGTGTCAGTAGGGCAAGTAAG